CTGTTGCACTCCGGTCAAGGTCAAGAGCCATAAATTCCAAGGATAGTGTTTGTCCTTGATGTGATGTGATTAAAATATGATAAAATTACTTCTGTAATCTTCTTCCAAAAAATGCAGAAAGCCCAGCTAACCATAAGAAAAGCCTCCAACGAATTCCAATAGAGGGACATCCTGTAATATTTACGACCAGCATTCCTCCAAATGTTCACATTTCTATATAAACATTTTGTTGAAAACAAGGAAAGTATGAGATCTTGTTACAGCCAAGAGAAAACTAAGACATAAAAACTAAGCATAATTTGGTGTTTGGATGAGATTTTGGAACAGAAAACAAATGTTGGGTAAAAACAGAGGAAATCTGAACACATTATAGGCTTTGGTAAACAATAACATCTTGATATCAGTTCATTAATTATAATAAATGTACCATAGGAATTGAACTGTTACATAGGGGGAAATGTCAGTGCAGTCAGGTGGGAACCCTCTGAACCACGTACTCAATTTTCTGTAAATCTGAAAGTGTCCTGAAAAATTAAGTATATCTAAATAAAATAAATAATAAACAAGAGACGGCATCAATAAACATTATCAAAATGAAAAAAGGAGAAATATAATCTAGATTTTTGAAAGTCTATAAAACAACAAACTATAAACCAAATGATTGTATGAACCACCATGTGACAATTTTTTAGAGCATTTTAAAAAACATTTTAAAATTATGAAATATAAAGTGCTTGTAAAAATCTATTAAGCATATATGTACAATTTAACAAACCACTTTAGGGTGAACAAAAGTGGCACCAACACCTGGGTCAAGAGATCCAACGTTGCCAGGTGCAGGGCAGCCTGGCTTGTGCTTTTCCTCCCAGATTACAGCCCCCTAGCCTCCTAGACTGAACTCATCCTAACTATGGGCATAGTAATTTTGATAAATATTTTAATATTATAACTGGGTCCATTTTTGGAAACTTTTTGTAGCCTTATATGAATACAATTGTATTTCTGCATTTTAATGTATTCTTTTGTGTATGTTTCTAATTGATGTTGTTGCAGGTAGCTGGACTTTGTTCTGTTTCAGGGTGGTAAAGTATTCAACCAGACAAACTTTCCACAGTCTTTCCAAAGGGGACCTCCTATAGTATTGCTCTGAAAATTCTCTGACATGTATAACGAAGCTCATGTACATTCATGTCTAAAAGTGGACCTTTGGCTACAGAATGACTAAATTCAAACTTTTATCTTGCCAAACAGCTTTCCAACAGTTTTCCCCAGTGTACACACTCTCCAGCTGCACTTGAGGGTGCTCATTGCTCTTCACTGTTGCAAAGCTTTAGGGATTATCAACCTTTTTAGTTCTAGCCCATCAGGTGAGGGCGTAGAGAGCTCACATAACAATTTGCATTCCCTCGATTACTGCTGAGGGTGAACACAATCTTTTTCTGATATTTATTGGCTGATTGGATCTGCTCCTTCATGAAGTGCATAATCAAGTATTTTGTCCATCTTTCTCTCTTTGTAGTACTTGTATGCTCTGTTTATCAGTTCTTGACTGAATACGAGGTGTATGTTATCTGTTCTCCATCTTTGATTTGTCTTTTCACTCTCTTTTTCACATCTTTTGATAAACAAATGTCACTCTTTATCTCTAATAGAACCAATGTTATGAAAAGTAGTTAATACATGGTGACCATCTAATGCCAGACACTGTTCAATGCATTCTATATAGAATAACTTATTTAATCTTCATAATGACCCTATAAGGTAAATCCTGTCAACCCTATTTCTCATAAGAGGAAACTGCATCAAGGAGATAGTGAGAATCTTGCTCAGGATGAGAGATCTAGTAAGTAGTAAAGCATTTGAGCAAAAATCACTGAGATGATTCCTTCAAAGAGAAACAAAGGAGGGGCAACTTCTAGGGGACAGTACAGCTCAGCGCTACAGTGTAATGCCTAGCATGCACAAGGTCCTGGGTTCAATCCCAGTACCTCTACTGAAAAAAATAAAAATTAATTAATTAAATTCTCCCCTCCCAAAAAAGCAGGAAAATAAAATAAAAACAGATTTGGAAAATGTCTCTGATCAGAAGGATTTTTTAAAAAAAGAGTGGGACTTCTCCCCTATCAAACTGTAGTACTTGAGCTGCAATGGACAAAAACATCTACGTACAGAATAGAGAGATCAAACACAGACACATGTACATGTGGGAATCTGACTAAGATGGAGGTGGTGCATCAAACCAATGGGGAAGAAGGGACTATTCAACATGTGGTAGTGGTATCGGCATTAATTCTTTCTTTTTGGTGGGGCGGGGAGGGGGAGGCATAGAGCTCTAACACACTACTTACGGCAGTAAACTTAAATATGCAGGTCATACTGTTTCAAACTTCCAGTGCTTTCATATTTAAAGTTGAAAAAACACAAATACTTACCGTAAGCGACAAGGTCCTACATACCCTAGACCCCACCTCTCTCCTTCTTCCTCTCTGTGCCCCAGGCACAAATGAGCTTCCCTTCTAGCCCTGGAAGAACAAAACCACCCAGGGCCATGGCAGGCCTGTTACACCTGCGCTTTCCTCTAAGTGGAAATCTGCTCTGGACCGTCCTTCCTGTCAGCTGGGACTCAGAAAGGTCTCCTGCTCTGTGACGCTTTCCCTGACCACCTGAGCCAGGCTGGCTCCTGCACACTCTGCTCTGGCATCCATCCCCTTCCCTTTCATTCCTTCCCAGCACACAGCACTGACTGAAATGATCTTATTCAGTTCCTTGTGGGCTTGTTTATGGGGACGAATCAATGACTCAGTCATGTGGAAGATACAGAGTATCGAAGACAGCGGAGACTTGGAGGGGAGATGTTCAGATGACAGCACTGTCTTATGTTTTCTCATTTCTCCCAGCAGCTTGGGTCAGCCAAGTACCGGCTGATTTCCACCAAGTCACCCTCAAGATATGGCTGCAAACCAAATCCCCCAACCCTGCCAGCCAGCCAGAACCCAACAACCACCCCCAAACTCGTTCACCAACACCGCAGAATGTAACCAGCTCATAAAACTATGCTTTTCTTGAAATCGTTTATTATATTTATTAAGGAAAGAACAGAAAAGAGTAACCACATCTCGATTGAATAAACTACACTAGAAATAAAGTCAGATTTTCACATTCTGATTACCTTTCACATATTTGTGAACAAATACTGGCAGAGAACACTTTTCAATAAATCAACACCTCAGAAAGATTATAAATGATTATCTGAGCCTCCACTGACCTAACTGGTCAAAGGGGGCTAGTTTGGTCAAAAAAAAGGAGGGGGGATGAGGGGACGGAGCTGGAGGAAAGGGAAAGGAAGGAGAGTGGAGGGTAAACAAGACCCAGGGACTCCAGAAGCTCGGAGGCACCCGGAGCTGGCCCCCGGGGTGGGAGGCCGAGGTAGCTCGGACACCGGCAAACTCAGCAGAACCAAGTTCCCAGACACACTGTGGTGTCCAGGGGAGGAAGCTCAGCTGGTGACACAGGAGGGAGCAGTTTCCAGAGATCCCCAGGTCTGGGAGGAAGAACAAACTTTGGAGAATTTGGTAAATAGCATGGACCCAGCTGGTCCAGCAGCAACATGGGAGGGATTGTCATGCAAGACCAGTGACCTGCAAAGACCCAAGCTCTGAAATGTACACGTGGCCAGTCTCAATGATCCTCCACACACAAGAGCAGTGGGTACAAAGGCATCCCCTGGGGTTAGGGGATGGGGAAACAGCAGTCCTCGGAAGATTTAAGCAGGATGCTGGAGTCCAGGGCTCAGCAGTGCACGGCTGTCCATGGAGGGTCCACCCGTAGGCAAGGGCTGAGCCTCGGGGTGTTGAGTAGCGTCTCCTGAGAGGCGCCTCTTAACCCGGGCCTGGACAGTCAGCTCCTGAGTCCCCTGTTCTCGAGGACGACGACTGCGACCATGTCTCTCAGCTGGATGGAGATCTGGGGTGGATGGACCTGCGGTCAGCGGCGGGGTTGGGCCAGGCTCTGGGGGTTTGCGGGCAGTGGCAACACTGAACTGAGCAGCAGAGGAAGAACCCCGGGCCAATGAGGGGCGCCGGAACGCCGGACGCACAGAGTGTTGGCGGCGGGTCCTACTGCCCGCGGCCACCAGCTTCTGCAAGGCCAGGCGGGATGGGCGGTGCCTCGGACCC